GGGGGTTGAAGTAGCCACAGTGCCTGTCTCAGCGGTCTGAGTAGCCACAGTGGTTGTCGTGCGGGTTGAAGTAGCTACAGTGCCTATTGTGGGGGGTTGAGTAGTCACCGTGTCTGTTATCTCTGGACAGTATTCCTGAATAGTTGTTTAACTCTAAACAACACCTGAACCACATTCAGGAGACATAGCAATATGAACACGCTTCTTTGAACATCCCAAGGGTATTCAAAATTCTCAGGGAATATTGTGGACGTCTTCATGAAGAGGATAGAAGAAAAAGGAGTTTCTGAAGATATAGAAGGGAAGGTGAACAAGTGGGAGAAAGTGTCCCATCCTGTCTCCCCCCTAAATTCATCCTCCAAGGTGAAGAGGTAAAAAGTATAATAATTAATAGTTTCCAAAAGATAACTCCTGAAGAACAGGAATGATGACAGTGCTAAGTACAGGCTCGTGACCAATAGTTTTATCATAACATAAACCAGTGTCACACAGTATAGCAAAGCAATGACCTTAATCCATTTCCCAAAGATGACCAACCCCACATAAAAACTGATAATCAGCAGTATAGACAGCCAGTAAAGTGCTACATACCAAAACTCCAAGAACAGATCCAACAACTCTGAGAGCAAATAAACCAACATTGTGAATAGTGAGTACTCAATTGATATAATGCTTATAACAAATTTGTTTTAATCCATTCGGCTCAGATGTGTCATTATCTCAACCCTTGGTGCCCCACGTTGGGTGCCAAAAAGGACTGTTGTGGTTGAACCTGGCAGGCAGCCAAATACCACACAGCCGCTCACTCACTCCCCCCGACCCCGCAGTGGGACGGGGAGAGAATCGGAAGGGTAAGAGTGAGAAAAACTCGTGGGTTGAGATGAAGACAGTTTAATAGAACAGAAAAGGGAAAATAATAATGATAATGTTAAAATATACAAAATGAGTGATGCACAATACAATTGCTCACCACGTGCGCTGACCAATAACTAAGTAGCAATCAGTACTTCCTGGATCACGCCTACCATTCATATACTGAGCATGACATCACATGGTATGGAATACCCCATCAGCCAGCTGGGCTGGCTGTCCTGATTATGTTCCCTCTCATCTTGTGTACCTAGCTCAGTCAGTGGGCATGAGAGCTGTCCTTGGACTAGGAGGGCACTTAGCAACAACTGAAAACATCAGTGTGTTATCAACATTCTCCTCATACTAAATCCAAAACACAGCACTAGGAAGAAATTTAACCCTATCCCAGCTGAAACCAGGACACTCAGTCACAGTAGGGTGCACCTCTGCACACTTTCTGTTTTGAACAAGAAAGAGTTGATGTTCAAAATTTTAAACACAGAATGGATTTGGGTCTCATAGAGGGCTATTTTATTTGATGGCAAAGACATAAGAGTAAAGGTTCTGAGCAACTGAAAGTACCTTAGAGGATGCTTTGTGCCTGTCTAGTCACCTTTCTTTAATACAGTTTAAGCCTGCCTTATTTGTGACTTCTCTGCATTTTCTTTGAGTAGCTGCTATCAGTATGTTACAAAGATGACAGTATGACAATTTTTGTCTCCCTGCATTTTCAGAAGCAGGTATTGCACAGTCCACTGAGGAAGCTGCTCTCTTAACAGTAGCAGAGTAAAAGGCAAAGCACATTGATGCAAAAGAGAAATGGAATATGAAATCAACATTAAAAACTTAGCAACTGTCCACAACTAGCGACTTCGCTAGTGTCTATGTATCTGTATAACCAAAATCACAAGCATCTAGTTACTGTAGCTGCAAGTGAAACTATGATTCTCAAATGTACCAGCTATGTGTCTGTGCAATTATGAATATAGCTCAACATGTTTAGTCTTCCTTAGATTCTTATCTTGGATTTTTGTTAAACATAAGATGAAAATGAAGCAACCTCAAGAAAACAAAACAAAACATGTCAATGAATCACTAAAATTCGTCTTCATGCTATTAATATCTCCAAAGTTACTACCAGTCCTCTCCTCATTATCACAAAATCTTAGAATATTTATTCCTAAACTGCTTTTGGAATAAACCATGTTGAAAGTGGTAGGTGTACAAGCATTTGGTCTGGTGTGGACCTAAAGAAAGTTTATGAATTTGTGTTTTTTTCATTAACTGTTGTTTGCACTCTACTTTTCATAATAAATACTACGTAAAAGTTAGCCCGCCAAGGAGATAACATACATGATGATGGGCTTGCCAACTGTTGCCAAACAGTATCTCTAACAACTAGGTTCTATCTTCCCTTTAGTGAGAAAGAGATCTTTTTCTTCTAGTCTAAACCTATCTTCAAAAAAAATTTCAACCCAGTTTTAGTTTGGGACTTCTGTTTTTCAGACATCTACTTCCGGGTGAAATTGACTAGTTGGTTTGGAAGTTATTGGGTAAGACAGACAAAGAGACAGAACAACTGAAAAATACATAGTTTTTTCAAGGGTCTGTCTGGAAAGGAGTTTGGAAGAATAAACAAAATCTGTGTCTTGAATCCCATGAGGCTTGAGGAAGAGGGAATCAGAGAGAAGAGCGT